GCAAGTGCATAAGTCATATTTATTCCAATATTTGTTTCTGCAAAGACAAAAATTGTAAATGACATATCCCTGAGGTTTGGACTGATGGACTGAACTAAGAAAACTGATTTTAACTTCTAACACTTTGTCATCAATCAATCAAATTTTATTTGTACAGCCCATATTCACAAATCACAGTTTCATAGGGCTTTAACAAAGTGCGACTCTGTCCTTAACCCTCAACAAGAGGGTAAGGCCTTTAATTGAAGAAACCGATCTCTACTAAACTTATAGGTCACTGTTTGCGAACATGACTGTGGTTCAAACCAACAGATTTCAACATGGAGTAACCTCACAACTGTAACATCAATTACCTAAAACTTTGAATAACTGTTGAAATATTTCTAAAATCAAAATGGGAATGAAGAGATTAAACCCAGGCACCTGCAGCACAATCATACAGCTGTAGTGGAGACAGGATCAAACATATGAAGTAAACTTCTACTGGTGACAAACAGTATAAATGTCATTATGTCATCTTAGACTTAAAGCATCTGAAGAAAAGCTTGTGGAGTAACTCCCCTGCTCGGAGGTTTGGAGCTGCTGAGCATTTACTGTGGGAACCAGCAGCAGAGGACGAGTGTGTGGGTGTGGGAGAGGGCAAAGCGTTCAACCTTTCACCCCCAGAATCACAAGGAACCAAATAAGACCTCGTCGATATGTGCTCATTATAAAACCAGATTCGATCTCAGCAACAATCAGGCAAATGTCTTGTGTCCGTGACATTTGTCAAACATAGAAATAAATCAAAAGATAGAAAACATGTATGAGACAAATAGTGAATCAGAGCAGGACATCAAACCTCTGACTAAATAATAATAATAATAATACAATTCTCTCTCCTCAACTAAACCATAGTAAAATTGACCAGAGTGTAGGCTACCATTACAACCACCAGGGAGCAGCATAATGCAGGTGGGGGGTCAGTTTCTTCTACATTATTGAGAACAGAGGCTGATAAATGAAGTAGAACAACAACACATTTTTTTCAGCTTTTGTCAGCGATGAAGTGAAAGATCATTTGTTATTAAACCTGCAGTGTTTCTATATCATCATATATAAACACCTTGGGGGATGTTAACCATTTAATGCACGGAATTCTATATTTTTAGGAAACAATGGAAACGGATAAATCATCATCTTGCCATATGTAATTAACATAGAAAGCTGTAATCACTGAGTAAAAATACAAAACAGGCATTGTAGCTGACAACACATTCACTGTGCTGTTACACCCTCTAAATACCACATGGAGCCATCTTTGTTTCACTGCACACATGTGACAGACAAAGGGGGCCTGCGTCTGTGAGTGTACATATATGCATATTGTGTGTGTCTATATGTAGGTATGTGTGAAGCTGCTGCACAAGCGGTGGAAGAGAAAGCGAGACGGAAAACACACAAGAATGTGAGGAATCCTCCTCTCATAGGCTATTATAGAGAGAGAGAGACAGAGAGACAGAGGGAGAGAGAGACAGAGAGTGGGGACACAGGGGAATGCATATGGAGGAGAAGAAGGAAGAAAGAAAGAGAGAGACACACAGAGAGAGAGAAGCAAAGTAAGAGGTTGAAATGTATAACAAAGAGAGGAGGAGAAGAAGTAATATGCCAGGTATCCACGAGGGAGGACAAAGAGAGAGAGGGCGAGGTGGAGAGAGGAAGTGGAGGCTGATCCATGCCTCGAGGGTGTGAACGAGAGAGAGAGGGTGATAGAGAGACAGAGATAGTGGGTGGCTGAAGATAACAAGAATGCACCGGGGATGTAGCTGCTCTCTGTGCCAGTTGGCACTTTCCTGTCGTCCACTTCCAACGCCCCACGAGGCAAAGAGATGAGGTCCAATTAAAAGTGTGATAGCTGCCAATCCATCCCCTCTCTTTATCTGAGAGAACGAGCACCCCCCCCCCTTTACTCTGCTATCAGGTCCCCTGTCTTCCCCTCTCCACACTCTGAACCGGCCTTCAAATAACAGGCAGCGAGTTCGAAGATCAGACGGCTTGGTGAAGAATGCACTTGGTTTTGTTTTTGGGAAACTCACCGGGGACGCTGAATGTGTTTGTGCTCTACTTGTGTTCATGGAGTTATGTAATCACACTGCATCACAATTAAATCAGAGTAAATTATGTTGAATACTTGTAAATAAAAGAATTGGAAGATGGATACTTATGACCTACATTATTTAATCAAGAATAAAATAGACTTTGACAGTTATTAATAGTATTTGTGTGGAAAAAGCATTGAAACAAGAGTGTGTCAGCCTGATAACAGACGGGTAACAAAGGTTTCACCCAACCTCTCGCCCCGTGTGTGGCTTCAGTAAGCCGGTGATGGATAAGTGGGTTGATGAATAAATTAATACAATACATAAACAGTTGAAATGCAACAAAGTCAGAAATATCCCATTCACATTGGAATGGGATTTTACTACTAGTAATGTTTAGGGGAGATTTCCTGATTTACGTTTAGAGACTGTTTTAAGTGTAAGCACAGTCAGTCAGTCACAGAATTGTAATTCATTACACTGTATCTTCCTGTTTTATCCAACAAACAGTTCAAATATATTCAGTTTACTATCACCAAAAAATAACAGCAAATATCTGAACATTTGAGAGCGTATCTATCTATCTATCTAGTATTTTTGAAAATACAAATATTTTAACATACAAAAAACATCAGTGGATATGTAGCCTTCAAGTAATAAACAGAACAGTGGCATGTAAGAAAATGATCAGGTCAATGACTGTAAGAAAACAGCAGAGGCTGCACACGCACTGTACTAACAGACACACATGTTTGTTCTTCTATCTTAGTGAGGACACTCATTGACATAATACATTCCCTAACCTCAACCATCTTCAAACTAAATGCATCACCAAAACCTAATTCTAACACTAAAACCAATTCTTAACCCTCAAACAGCCCATTGAAAAAGTGGGGACTCACAAAGGTATAAGTACAGGCATGCACACACACACACATACATACATACATACACACACAAGTGCAACCCCTCAGCACTGCACGGCTCCCAAGAACCCCCAAACCAGTGACGTTTTTAGAGTTTTGGCATGGACATGGTACCAAAGTATCGGTTCTTGTGACATCCCTTCCAGCAAAACAGCCTGAAAACATCACTCCTCATCTCACTGACTTCCAGGATGAATGTGGACTGAATGTCACTGGCCAACGGTCTTATTTTCTGACAAACAGTCCTCTCTACTGACTCTGAGGTTCAGCTCAATATGCAGATCAATTCTTCTTCTTCTTCTTCTTCTTCTTATTATTATTAGTGGTGGTGGTAGTAGTAGTAGTAGTACATATTTACACATTTACACACTGTAGATCGATCCAATAATTTTGTGTCACTTTCTTTAACATTGTGAGATGTATGAATAAACATTTTCACAGATTTCTTAGAGAATGATTCATGGTTCTTGATGTCAAAAAATCAAGCATTTTAGGGGGCTGCTATTTATGAGTGTGTGACATTTGGTGCAGATCCAAATAAAAATCTGGATCTGGGGAATTTAAATGTGTTTTCATAAGTGCACTGTTGGGCCTTGGCAGAGGTATGAACTATTCTGTGCCATATTTCTGTACTTGGGTTGATGTAAAACCCAAATTTTTCCGATGGGAAATCAATAAAGTATGACCTTATCTTATTCTGCAATGATAATAACATCCTTTTCAGCTGCCACAGTAAAAGCCAGGGTTATTATGGGTATCACTTTTATAATGTGAATGGCAGCCATGCTCGGTACCGTCCCTCACCTCCACCAGCTGCATGAGGTTCTCAAAGTACTCCTCCTCGTCGATGGTGAGCTTGCCGTTGTGGTAGATGATGCGGTAGTGCTCCACCTTGCCATCACAGCTGACGCACAGGGTGTAATCACCGGGGTAGTTGGTACTCTCCCTCACCAAGTACAAGCCCGTCTCTGGAGGGTAGAGGAGCCGCTCGGCCTGCTCCCGAGTTATCTTCCCATGAAACCAGCTACAGGCGCAGAAGAGAGGGACAGGGAAAAGGGAGTGAGAAAAGTGACCAAAAAAACACTCATAAAAGTTAACGCTACATTCGTGGTGGTCATCACAAGACAAGTTTGATCCATGTATGGCAATTTCACATGTGCCTCTTCTTGTCCTTGTGGAAAACTGAACTTTATCATTTCTTTTTCGTCTGTGTTAACAGCATCAGATTATTCAACAGCTCCTACAGTGGATCACACAGCTTTTTCCTCTCCTCAATCTCATTTGCAACTTCAACCCAACAGAATCCACTTCCACATATCAGAGACATGCAGCCTCCTCTGATATGAGGAGTGAATAAACAACAATGGGGGTGATAATGGGAAGGTGGCGGAGGCATTTCCAGTCTGCTCAACTAAAGCGGAGCAGGGCTGTGGGCAGTCTCGTCTTGAGGAGTCACTGAGAAAGTACCTGAACCCTAAACAACAGGAAGCATGGTGCTCAAAAACACACACACACACAGGGACTCACACGAGAAGCCTAGGGGCAGAGTCGGAAACTGACACACAGGCACTCTGCAATAACAGGAAAATGCAAAAACTGCTCAGACAAGGTGGAGTGTAGGACAGAACCAGTCACCCACTGACAGGGGTCAAGGAGACCAACAGATGAGCGCACCATTGAAAAAGATACAGCACACTTAAATCTGAGCCGTAAACTGAATTATATGACTGTTCTTTAATAAAACACATTAATGCTGCTTTTAACTGAAAACAATAAAAGCTCTTGCCTCCTGATTTAGAAGCTCGCTGTCTAACCCTGCTTCACCCTCACCATATGGCCTGGTGGTTACATCTATAGACCACTAATGGATGGATTATACTGTCATCTCCTGCTCCATGGTTTACACCAATCTCTTCTATGCCAACATAAATATTTCTCACTGTCTTCAAAAAAAGCCCCAGCAAATAATTGTTACCAGAAATAGGAAAATGTTTTAAAGTAATATAGCACCTAACTATAAAATACGATGTAAAATTATGAGTCCTCTTTTCTACCTCTGTGGACCTGTGAGCTTTAACAAACAACCATCCAACCTCAACCACAAAACACGGCACCATATCTCATTGATTCTTGTCACTCCTTGTGTGAAAGGCAGTTTTAGCTGCAAACAGTAGCAGCCTACAGGGTCTCTCTATCCATCTTGGCTGGTGCATGGGTGGTAATCAACCGCCATAATTGATTTAGCTCATTTTCCCGTGGCAGCCTCCGTCACTCCATACTCCAACTCCTCCCCCTCCTCTTCATCCTCAGACAGCGCAGCCCTTGTGGCAAAGCAGCTTAATATGGGTTGAGTTGATTAGATCAGTGCGGGCTGCTTCTCCGATGGACAGCAGCTCCTTAACTCCCACTAATCCGAGAGCAGGCGCCAAGCGTGGACGGCCAGAGAGATGCATTCCACTCTTGGTTGACACACTGGTTGTTCGGTCCATAGACATTAACTGCAGTATTTTGTAAATTACATACTGAAAGAAGAGAGACGGGGGGAATGTGGTCAACAACTTGGTGGAGACAACAGGGAAAGAGGGACAGCAGGGTTCAACACCCCAGCTCTCGAGGGTGGTGCTGTAATCTGATGAAGATGTCTGCCACAGGGGGGCGGCAGAGAGAGCAAGCTGTTATCTACCAATGAGGGCGGTGGTGTTTGTATCTAGTGCTCAGGATCAGTCGGTCAGAGTGACCATGGGGACAGAGGACTCTCATGTGAACCAGAGGCGAGGGAGAGATCTCTGAAACATCTGTTAGTCATTCATAACAGAGTCAACAAGTCTCTGAGTTACAGCTCATTCTTCCACAGAAACAACTTGCGACGGCGACTTTAGTATTTTGAGGGCCATGAGATCAGCAAGAGAATCAGGCCAAATATAGTGTTTATTCATTCATGACAGCAGTTAGCAGGTGCTAAACGTTTTTCCTGTAGTACATCAACTGTTGATGTCAGTTAGAACAAAGTATTTTTAATCGGTGGTACGGCAAAGTCAACACACGGTGTTGAGAGGTCGGGTGAACAGTTAGGAGAAAAAGAGTTAAAGCTTTGAGCATCAGGTGGTGAAGCGAGACAATGAGGGTCAACTTAAATGTTTCCAGCTGACGAGATATTAATACAGTAAGTCATACCACCAACTACTGAGAGCTCCATTAACAGTGTTGAAACGACTGTCATACTTATGACTATTCATTCATGGGAAAACATTTCCTATGATGACTGTTCTGGGATTTCAAGCATTGCCTCACTTTACATCCTTCATTGGTAAATGGCGTTTTCAAACTATGACAAAATGACCTTTTAATAATAATATTAACAAGCCTGAAAACTATATCACATGAACACACATACAGAGCATGCACGGGCCATGTCTTCTACATATGAGCAGTTGTAACATAGTAAAATGCAGAATTGAACTGCACAACAGCTGTTAGCAAAATCCACATGGCCAGCAGCGCTTGTGATTGATTATCCATGTTGCATTCTACACTGGTAGCTGAGGCTAATGCTAATGTTTGGGTCATGTGATCCTGACGAGGAGCCTGACATATCAGCAAAGGCTACGTCGTGACCAAAAAGACCCAATAAGCAAGAGATTGTGAGAATCTATTCTTCCTTTCTGTCCAGACTAAAACGCAGCCCTGGAGTTTTCAAAACTGAAATGGAGACAGCAGCGTTTCCAAAATCCAGGACTTAAACTCCAGAGTAGTGTGGACACCGGACGTATCTGTAGCACGGATGCACATCCCCTAATGTTGTCAAAGTCAAAAACTGGCTGGGAAAACACAACACAATAAACAATGAACAACTGAGATGAATGTGTCAATCCAGCTCTGGTCCATGAATCCAGTTCCATTCATTCACACTGGATCTCGCCGTGCACCACCTAACTGTGACCAGCCTCTAACTTCAAATCATCTGACATTTACAACTAAAGTTCAAAACTTTCTACTTTAAAATGTAAACCCTGGAGAAGCCAGTACGCTCTCAGCTTTCCTGTCTCTTTTCATTTGCATGCACTTACATTTTCTTTTTTCTTTTAAATAGCACATTTAAAAAAAGCCTGATTCAAAAGGTAGCGCGCAGCTGCTCCAGCAACATATTGACAAGAGGAGGCGACACAGAAAAAACCAAAAGACTTGAGGAGATGGAATTTCCTTCTTTGCCTGACTTTTGGAATCAGATGTAAGTGAATTGGTGGCACATCATCTTGTTCAAAGGGATGGAGCACACGTGGAAAAGAATAGAGACACATGAATGTATCTACAGTTATTATTTATATTACTGCTGCATACTATCACATTCTGTACTGCACTTTATCTATGTGTCATCATGTTCATACAATGTTCTCTCTAAATACATTTTCATCAAAGACATTATGTATTACAGCTATATTTAATCTAACACTGCTCTTCTGATGTATTTGATCATGATTTACAGTATATTAAACATTACATGGACTTAAACAAAGTCAGAACATATCTCAAATTTTAAATAAACACTTTGACGGTGATATACACAAAACTCTGAACATAATGTTCAAGCCTCTCCTGTTACCCCTCTGGTACTTACGGCATAAGACTGAGTTTCCCTCCTGACTTGACTCCTTCCCTTTTCTGGACATAGTTGGCTGGGATAGTGCCCTCTCTGCCCACTGTGTTCCTCGCTCTGTACCAGTTTGGATCCTGAAACAGTCAAACACACGGCATGCTGTCATCTTTACATAAATTTACAGTGATTCTGGAGAAACCTACAGTGCATTGTGCAGAATGGATGCTGCAGTCCACTTCAACACCACTGGTTCGATCAGATATGAGTGGGAATAAGCTGCTGCAAACAGTGAGCGCTGATGTATTATCTAAAGCACCAATGGGAGCCAGAGAGGGCCTCCAGCTAAAAGAGAAACATACTGACTGGTGCTACAAAGCTGTTGGATGGACTCACATCTCGCTTACATACTTTATCATGAAGCACTTGCTTGTTTTGTACTGTGCTCTATTTGATTGTTTGCAGCATGTTGTGATGTTAATCTATTTGAATCCTAACATGAGGGGGTGAGCTTTTCTCTCTTTTGGCTTTTAACATCTCACTTTAATACAAAAGACATGAATATCAATATTAAACTTGTGACAGGGGTCACATATTAGCACTGTGTTCAATGATTGGACTGTGTCACAATGCTACAGATTTATGTTAACACAAGTATGCTGTAAGTCACATGTTTTTAATTCATATCATTTCTTAGTAATACAAATTTTTGGTCTTCAATACATGATGAGAACCTGGAGAAACTAAAACAAATCATGTTCAATGTGCAACCTAATGAAGAAATACATTTAGAAAAGCTTTACACTCTTCCTAGAACTACTGTCGTTTGCGCAGGGTAACAGTTTGGTGTGTTTATCTGGTATAATCTACATAATTTACAGATGTGCACTCTTTACCCTGGTGACGCCGATGATGGTCAGTACGTCTCCTTTGCAGAAGGGCAGGTCCTGTTCGTTGGCGGTCTGGAAGTTGTATTTGGCTACACACTCTGTGCCAGTCGACCATGGTGCCTGAATCACACAGAGAAAAGAAGGAAGCAGCATTTAATCACACTGATGTAACTTGGTTCAGGATAAGGAGCTGAACTGAGTAATTTGTGAGAAAGCACAGAACCCTGCAGCAGTCAAAATTACTTTAGATATCAAGTTCTATTCCACAATGTTATGGGATTGTTGTCCAGTCTAGGTTTGAATATCTCTTTGTGGAGTTTGCATGTCAATGATTTATGATGTGTTGTGACTGTGTTTGATTTGTACAGTCATCTACATAAAACTACAAGTTAATTCACAAATAAGAAAATGATGACTCTTCTAAGATATGTTTAAATACAATGCAGATATCTAATTGAATATGCACAATGAACTTTTAGAATTTTCACACATGATCCACCACTTTGCTTATTATTCTAAAAGCGTGAGGAATATCTAAAATACTTATTTCAGTGTACACACAGAGGGCGTGGCACAAATTCTAGGTTATAGTATATCTCAGAGACTTGTGTATGCTAACCCCACTCATTTTAAAACCCATCATTTATACACCCAAACTGTGGTTGTATAAATGTTGGAACAATATTGAGGAGCACTGCAATGACATGCAAAGACAAAGAGGAGAAACCGTCTTAACTTCAATTCATATGCTTTATTTGATGCCCCTTGAAACTCATCAGTTACAGTGTATAGCTTTTAGTAATTAAATTTTGTCTCTGTTTTACTGGATCTTATCTA